GAAGAAAGGATATCAGAGGTTGAAGATCAACTCAATGAAATAAAACGAGAAGGCAAGATTAGAGAAAAAAGGGTAAAAAGGAATGAACAAAGTCTCCAAGAAATATGGGACTATGTGAAAAGACCTAATCTACTTTTGATAGGTGTATCTGAATGTGACGAAGAGAATGAATCCAAGCTGGAAAATATTCTTCAGAATATTATCCAGAAAAACTTCTGCAACCTAGCAACGCAGGACAATATTCAAGTCCAGGAAATACAGAGAACACCACAAAGATATTCCTCAAGAAGAGCAACCCCAAGGCACATAATCGTCAGATTCACCAGGGTTGAAATGAAGGAGAAGATGCTAAGGGCAGCCAGAGAGAAAGATCAGGTTACCCACAAAGGGAAACCCATCAGACTCACAGCAGATCTCTCAGCAGAAACCCTACAAGCCAGAAGAGATTGGGGGCCAATAATCAACATCCTTAAAGAAAAGAACTTTCAACCCAGAATTTCATATCCAGCCAAACTAAGCTTCATAAGCGAAGGAAAAATAAAACCCTTTGTGAACAAGCAAGTATTCAGAGATTTCATCACCACCAGGCCTGCTTTACAAGAGCTTCTGAAAGAAGCACTACACATAGAAAGGAACAACCAGTACCAGCCACTCTAAAAACATACCAAAACATAAAGAGCATCAACATAATGAATAATCTGCATCAACTAATGGGCAAAACAGCCAGCTAGCTTTAAATGGCAGTATCAAATTCACACATATTAATATTAACCCTAAATGTAAATGGACTAAATGTCCCAATCAAAAGACACAAACTGGCAAATTGGATAAAAAGTGGCCCCATTCCTAAAAGGCTTCCAGCTTAGTTGGGGAGATAGCAAATATGGTCAGGTAATTTTTAAATCAAAACTAGAGAAATTTGTAACTGTAAAATGGAATGAGAAAATTGGACTTTGAATGCTTTAGGATTAAATGTTTTAGTCTTATAAAATTCCTCTATTCCTACTGAAGATTAGCCATCAATTCTGATGTGAAAGAACTCATGACTTTAGCTAAGGCATTCTATTGTCTAGCAGAAGTTTCTGCAATAAAGGAAATGTTTGATAATCTGTGCCATCCAATAAGATAGCCACTAACTACATGTGGCCTTTGAGCCTCTGAAACGTGATTAGTGCAACTGAGAAGTTAAATGTTTAATTTAATTTATATTAAAATAATCACAATAAAAAAAGAAAAGATACTCAGCATCATAGCTCATTAGGGAAGTGCAAAATAAAATCAAATTAACACACTACTATACACCTTTTAGAATTGCTAAAATAAAACAACTGATAATACAACATGCTGGTGAATATGTGGGACAACTGGAGCAAAACTCATGTTTCTGGTGGAAATACAAAACAAGACAGTCACTTTAGAAAACAGTTTTCAAAAAAAAAAAAGGAAAATGAAATTTTTATTTTAGATTAGCCTGGCACAGAGGTGCATGCCTGTAGTCTCAGATGCTTGGTAGGGTAGCCTGAGGTGGAAGGGTGGCTTGAGGTGAGGCGTTTGAGGCTGCACTGAGCTATGATCACATCACTGCATTCCAGCCTGGTCAATAGAGCAAGACTGCTGTTCTCTCTCCCTCCTTCTGTCCCCTCCTCTTCTTTCCTCCTTCTCTCCCCTCCCCTCCCCTCCCCTCCTTCCTTCCTTCCTTCCTTCCTTCCTTCCTTCCTTCTTCCTTCCTTCCTTTCTTAAAAAAAAAAAAAGAAAAAAAAAAGATATCATTCCAATTGTTTCTTTTTCTAAGTTTTTTCTAAGTTAGTACTCTTTATGACATTTAGAAAAACTTAGATGGCTTAACATAGGTAGATATATTAATCTACTTGAGCTACTATAACAAATACCATAGACTGATAGACCATGTGACTTAACTCGCAGTTTTGGAGGCTGGGAAGTCCAGGATGAAGGTGCTGGATGATTCATTTCCTAAGGAGGGCTCTCTTCCTGGCTTGCAGATGGTTGGTTTCTTACCACGTACTCACATGACAGACCAAGAGAAAGAGGGGATCGGGGCTGAACTCTTTCTCTTCTTTTAAGGCCACCAATACTGTTCATTAGGGTCCACCCTTGTGACCTCATTTAACATTAATTACATCCTAAAAGCTCTGTCTCCAAGTAAAGTCATGTTGGAGTTTAGGGTTTCAACATGTGTGTTTTGGGGAAAACATTCATTACATAGCAATGGGTCATAATTTACTTAACTATTTTCTGTTGGGAATTTATGTTGTTTCTTTTATTTTCTTCAAGGTTGCTTTTAAGGGTGATCCAGAAGCAGCCCTAATCCAATATCTTACCAACGAAGAGGCCAGGAAAGCCATTTCTAGCACAGAAGCAGTTCTAAACAACCGATTCATTCGAGTCTTGTGGCATAGGGAAAATAACGAGCAATCAACATTACATTCCTCAGCACAGCTGCTCCTGCAACAACAGCAAACACTTAGTCACCTCTCACAGCAGCACCATCACCTGCCACAGCATCTTCATCAGCAGCAGGTGCTGGTGGCCCAGTCTGCTCCTTCAACAGTGCATGGAGGTATCCAGAAGGTAATCTGGTTCACTGGGAATTAAAGGTCCTTTCTTTCAACCCTCTAGATCAGTATTTTTCAATTCCTGGTCCTTGGGTCTTCTATGTAAGAGCTACTTATAATTTGGACTGCAGACCAGCAGCATCTGATCCCCTGGGAACTTACTAGGAATGCAGATTCTTGGAGAAGAATTACAGATTCTTGAGCCATACTCCATCCTACTGAATCAGAATCCCTGTGCGTAGGGGCCCAAGGATTTGTGTTTTAACAAGCTCTCCAGGTGATTCTTAAATACCCTAAAGTTTGAGAAGTGGTATTTTACATCAGAATCACTTACCTGGGTGCAAATTCCTGGGCTTCACTTTCTCAAACTTCTGTAGAGTCAGTCTGTAGATATGGGCCCTATAATGTACATGTTTAAGACGTCCTCTTTAAGTTATTGTTATGTACACTAAAGTATAATAAACGTCTACCACTGAGCAATTCTGAATGTAGAACTATTTATTTTTGTATTAGAACCAATCTTTTTTGTATCTACCCATATGTCCCCCTTTTTCCCATCTAAAAAAGTAAACATTTCTTCTAAAAGTGGGAATAGAAGCTCCAAAAGAATTAGAATTTTGCCTATTGTGTCCATTCTATCCCTAGTGCCTAAAACAGTGTTCAGTACATATTGCTCAAAATATATTTGATTGAATAGATGAAGGAAGGAAAGAAGAAGAGAACAAACTACCACACATCAGAGCCATTCAGATATTGACCTAGATAATCTTTTGCTTAGATTAAATGCATTCATATTTTTTTAAAGTATTCATTACAGTACATGGTGTCAACTCCATTTATTGTCCTGCTCATAAGCATCTAAATTTTCTTTTAGTTATGTTTGTATCCCACTTCATATAAGGGCCCAGAAGTGAATGCTTCCCCTAGATGTTGGATAAATAGTGTAGAAATGAGTTGATACCATCACCTTCATGGTGACCATTAGACATATTATGTTAATGCAGCTCAAGATTCTATTATGTTTTTGAGGTGATCGTTTCAGTTATTCTTATTGTCGCTATCAGTTAAGACCTAATTCTTTTATTCTGTTTTTTTTGAGTCAGTCTTGCTTTATCGTTGTTCAGGCCAGAGTGCAGTGGTGTGGTCTTGGCTCACTGTTGCAACCTTTGCCTCCTGGGTTCAAGTGATTTTCCTGCCTCAGCCTCCCAAGTAGCTGCAACTACAGGCACATGCCACCACGTCTGCCCAATTTTTGTATTTTTAATCGAGACGGGTCTTCTCCATGTTGGCCAGGCTGGTCTTGAACTCCTGGCGTCAGGTGATCCGCCTGCCTTGGAATTATACGCATGAGCTACTGCGCCCAAGACCCTCTAATTTTTTTTTTTTTTTTTTGAGATGGAGTCTCGCTCTGTCACCAGACTGGAGTGTTGTGGCGTGATTTTGGCTCACTGCAACCTCTGACTCCCTGGTTCAAGCGATTCTCCTGCCTCAGTCTTTCAAGTAGCTGGTATTACAGGCAGTTGCCGCCACACCCAGCTAATTTTTGTATTTTTAGTAGAGACAGGTTTCATCATGTTGGCCAGGATGGTCTCGACCTCCTGACCTTGTAATTCGCCCACCTCGGCCTATAAAAGTGCTGGGATTACAGATGTGAGCCACTGTGCCCAGCCAAGACCCTCTAATTCTTTCAGAGCATTACATACTGGAGGAAACATTAAAAAATAATCGCTATTTTGTGTGTAGGTGCATTCATTTTGTTGTGGTATGTTTTAAACATCCAAAAAAGTATGAAAAATCTATCAATCATTTGTATATTCACCATTGCATTTAAAAAATACAATTTTATGAATAATTGAAGCACCTTCCTATTCTCATTTTCTTATCTTCTTCCCTAGGGTAATTATCTTAAATATATATTATTCCTAGGCATGTTTTCAAACTTTGGCTACTTAAGTGTTTGTTTTTTATTTGCAGATGATGAGCAAACCACAGACATCAGGTGCATATGTTCTCAACAAAGTTCCTGTTAAACATCGTCTTGGACATGCAGGTGGTAACCAGAGTGATGCGTCACATTTGTTGAATCAGTCTGGTGGTGCTGGGGAAGATTGCCAGGTATGTATTTTTGTGAGCTTCAGATATATTTAGAATCATTCAATGAATTAACAAATAAATTTGTTATCATCCAAACAATGAAGAAAATTGTGACAGCTAATCTAAGTGTGGCAGGTATGCCTGTCTAACTCCCTTGTTTCAGTTGGAAATTTGCTAGTGAAACCTTTTTCCTATTCAAAGTTAAGTAGGAGGCTGGGCACAGTGGCTCATGCCTGTAATCCAGCACTCTGGGAGTCTGAGGTGGGCGGATAACTTGAGGTCAGGAGTTTGAGACCAGCCTGGTCAAAATGTTGAAACTCCATCTCTACTAAAAATACAAAAAAATTAGCTGGGTGTGGTGGTGGGCACTTGTAATCCCAGCTATTTGAGGCTAGGCATGAGAATCACTTGAACTTGGCAGGCAGAGGTTGCAGTGAGCCAAGATTGCACCATTGTACTCCAGCCTGAGTGACAGCAAGACTCTGTTTCAAAAAAAAAACCAAAAACAAAGTTAAGTAGGAATTTGAGAATTTTAGATATTTATTAATAGATAAGTATCTTTATTAGTTCATTTCTTTAATTTCATCTAAAAAAGAAAAGAGAGAATAAAACTGCAAAAGAAAAGCAGCAATGCCAGGCAATCCCCCAAAATACTGTATAGCCTCTATAACTGAAAAAACCTGATACTGACTCGTGAATAGACAAACTAGTGGAACAGAATAGAAAATCTAGAAATAGACTCAATTGCAAATAGGAGGTTATTATATAATAACAAAGTGTCCCAGATCAGTGGGGAAGTTATAGACATGTTGATAACTTCCAGATTGGGATAACTGGATAGCCAATAGGGAAAAGATAAAATAAGATCCAATCCATTTTTAAAAAAATTATATCATAAACCAGTATAAATTCCAAATGGATCTGAGATTTAGATGCTGATGGAAACACTAAATGATACAATCCTTATGAAAGGAAATTTGGCAGTACAGTTTCTGACAAGATTATGTATATGCATTACTAATCTAGTAATCTTCCTTCTAATAATCTATGTCAAAGGTACACTAGCCAAAATATGGATAGACGTATGTGCAAGGCTAGTAAGTGTATGATCTTTATAATAGCAGAAGACTAGAAACAACCCAAATTCCCATCTGTAGGGGACTGGTTACTGAAAATGTAGTATATCTACACAGTAAATATACAACTATATAAAGAATGAATAATATTTTTATATGTACTGTGGAGTGATTATCAAAATATATTAAGTAAAACAAAATGGAAGAAAAAATATATAGTTGACTACTGCTGGTGTGAAAAAGTAGAGGCACTGAACAGAGAGAAGTATTTGCTTATAACAGAAAAAAACAAGATAATTTGTGTTATTTAAATCCTGTGGTTATGGCAAGTATAGAAGAAGCTAGGTGACTTTTGATTATGTCTTGTTTTATAGATTTGACTTGGAACATGTAAATAAGTTCTGAATATAATTATAAAATTAAATGAAATAGAAAAAGTAAAAAGAAAAAAGTAAAGAGAAAAGTGAAACATATGAACTAGCATATCTGTATTGAGTGCTTTAAAACAGTGATTTGGACCATGTATTCCTAATTTGATACACCCTGAGGGCAAAAAACAATTTAAAAAAAGCTCTTTCTAATCATATCGTTGGCAATGTTGATATTCCAAAACCCATCTGTGAACATTGTAGGATAAATCAAATGAGGAATTAAGCTGATGTTATTGACAACTGAGATTTTCAGTGTGGTTGAAGACAAGTGGAAGATAGATAAGATTAAGTAAATACCCTGTAGTCCAGCATTTGAATAGAAAGGATCAGCATAAACTCAGGTTGTATTTTATCTTAAAGAAAAAAAAAGGCAACAAAATAATCCCAAAACATATCCCAATTCTAGTCACTGAAAAGGTGTAGGAACAATGACCAGCCCAGTCATTGAGCATCCCTAGCACTCAAAGGGACCAGGGGTCCTTGAAGAAATGGTTGTCTCCAGACCTGAGACTGGCAGTTTTGCAGATGAGCCTAGAATATGGTGTCAAACCAGAAAGTGAGGAGGATGTCAAAGATTACTAGAGTCCTGTCAAAGAGAAAAACAAATCTGATCAGGGTTCTAGGTCTACCCACTAATTTAAAAGAAATCTGGGGGACAGAGTCCTGTGGGGAGTAGTACTGGATGAGTGACCTCGTTTCTTCAACGATTTGCAACAAAAAGCCAGAGATGGAGAGGGAAACTATGAAGTAAAGCAGACTTTAAAGAGATAAAACAAGTTGCACTTACATGGACCTTAGTAGTAGATCCCATTTCAGATGGTGGAAAATTGTTTAGAAAATTATAAGCTGGAACTGGAGAAGTGAATATTTAATATTAAAGAAGTATTACTGCCTTTTAAGTATATGTTGTGATAGTATTGTGGTTATATTGAAAAATGAGTCCTTGTTTTTTAGAGATATAATTGAAATATTACAGATGATAGGATATTTGGGATAAGAATGTAGTTAGTTGGGGATATAAATGAAAGAAGGTTTATGTTGCTGCTTGATACCTTTTTTTTTTGTCTGTTTCAAAAATTCCATCATTTTTTTAAAAAAGTGATTAAAGATTTTCAAGTCAGGTAGCTCTGACTGACTTGACCTGCCTCTTATAAGCTGTTGCTAATTTTTATGTTAATTTTATGTTAATAAGAATGCGCAAAGAGAAATGTGTAGCCCATAAATAGTGCTCAAGAAATTGTAGTTGTTGCCATTTAAAAAAAAATTTTTTTTTTTATTCAGCTGTCAATTCCATGTTGGTACCATTTTAATAAAATAAATGATAACATGAACATAAGCTATACAGTGTTCTTACAGTACATGCAGGATTTTCCTGTGTAAACTAGTTTAAGTTTGATAATAATTAAGTGTTGTAGTGATTGAGAGAAGTCTTACATTTGGATATATTATTTATATAATTGAATTCTCTGTGGATTTCTTAATATTATTTTCTATATCTTTTATATTATTTAAGGTTAATTAAAGAGTTTTTTAAAGACAGGTGCTCCATATCCAGAGTAACTATTCCAGTAAGAAAATTAAAAAAAAAAAAAAAAAAGACAGATGCAATGGCTCACACCTCTAATCCCAGCACTTTGGAAGCCTAAAGTGGAAGGATTGCCTGGCCCTAAGAGTTTGAAACCAGCCAGGGTAACATAGAGAGACCCTGTCTCTACAAAAAAGAAGAAAAAACAGCCAGTCTTGGTGGCTCACACCTATAGTCCCAGCTACTCAGGAAGCTGAGGTGGGACTGAGCCCAAGAGATTGAGGCTGCAGCAAGGCGTGATTGCACTACCACACACTAGCCTGGGCAGCAGAGTAAGACCCTGTCGGGGGAAAAAAAAAAAAAGGAAGAAAGAAAAAATTTTAAAAAAAGAATGTAGCTTAATTCTTAGAAGGATTTTTCAGTTATTGGGAACAGGGTTTTTTATTGGCACTTCACTTATGAAAAACAGCTTATGACATACCCTCCAGCCAGGTACTACCCACCTATAGCCAAACAAGTTCAATTTATTATTCAGTGAGGGGTATACACAATGAAACTGTGGTTGCCAGAAATACTTATTTTAGGATTTGGGCTAAGTTAGATTTAGAAGAATTTAAGGAAATAGGCATAGGCCTATTCTGTGATAGGATATCTTACTAAATCTTACCTGGAATGAGGCTAAAACAGTAAGTGGTAAAGAAGCAGCAGTCATTCCCAGGATAAACGGATGTTTCGTCATTTTATGGTTTGGATAGCATTCATGTTTTTGTCTCTGTTCAGTCATGATTAGGGTGTGGTCATGATAATTGTTTGTCTTGATCTGTTAATGGTCACAAGAGCAGCTTTGTCCGATGTTGATATTTTGTGAAATTGTGTTTAACATGAGGGCACTAAGGGTGTTTTATCTTTTGGGCGACAAATTTATGCATAAAGAACTAGATTTGATAATGAAGTTTTTAAATGTAAAAAGAAAATTTAACTCCTAAGAAGAGTAGACATACATGATCCTTTCTAAAAAAATTATTCTAAGCATTTCTAAGATATAATTTAATTATATTTATGTTTGCCTTTTTTTTTTTTTTTTTTTTTTTTTTTTTTTTAGATATTTTCAACTCCAGGCCATCCAAAAATGATTTACAGCTCCTCAAACTTAAAGACACCTTCAAAGCTCTGTTCAGGGTCTAAATCTCATGATGTTCAAGAAGTTCTTAAAAAAAAACAGGTAACAGTCTTGATTCTTCCTGCCTTACAGAAGAAAAGATGTGTTGAATTGTTAAGTGGTTACGATATCACCTTTAAATCGGTTCATGTTGTTACAGCACGGCATCATAATGCTTATTTAGCTTCTTCTGTATTTAATGTCCACTTGGAAAAAAAATGAAAAAAAGATGAACATACAGAAAAAATGTTTCATAATTGCCATTCAGAATTTTTTTTTAACTACTCACACTATTATTCCCCCCAATTATAGTGTTTATTTTCTTTTTTAATCCCAAAGTAGATAATGATTCATATAAAATAGAACATTTTTGTAGTTAATATGATTTAGTTCTGAGTTTCATTGTCATCCTATTAAGTTCACACAGTGTTTCCCAAATAAAATAGATACTTATATGTACTGTAAAGCTCAGTATAATTAGAGATTTAATTCACAGGAGGGTGGGAGGCAAAATTTTCCTGGTGAAATCCATAGATTTTAGTCTACCATTTCTAACCTATAGCTGTATCTCACTTTTTCTTTCTCTTTTCTTTCTTTCTNGCCTCAATCTGTTATTCAGGTTGAGTACAGTGGCATGATCATGGCTCACTGCAGTCTTGATGTCCCAGGCTCACATAATCCTCCCACCGTAGCCTTCTGAGTAGCTAGTACTACAGGCACATGCCACCATACCCAGGCTAATTTTGTTGCCCAGGCTGGCTGGTCTTTAACTCCTGGATTCAAGCAATCCTTCCACCTCAGCCTCCCAAAGTGCTAGGACAGGTTGAGCCACTGTGGCCAGCCTCACAGTTTTAAACTTCAAACTTTAAAAATAAGGATTTAGATTATTGCATTGGCAAGTGAAAACAACTTTTGTTTTTCTTTATAAGAACATTCAGATCATTCACGTCAATAAATCTTATGGATATAGCTAATTAGGTCCAATATTTTAAATATTTTTTAAGTGCAGTTATAAACTCTATTATATTCAAAGTGTTAGGGAAAACATATTCAAAAGTTTCATCTCTGGTTTCAGCTATTTTTTCATTAGGAGGACAGTCTGTCTCAGGGATGACCCAGAAAAAATGAATTGAGAATGGTGGCAAATTATGTTATCCGTATTAATTTCTTTTTTACTTATACAGGAGGCAATAAAGCTACAACAAGATATGAGGAAAAAAAAGCAAGAAATGTTAGAAAAACAAATAGAATGCCAAAAGGTAAGACAAGAGCTCATTATTTGTATGCTAGAATTGATGTATAGAATTGACTGTAAAAGTTTTATCCATAATTTTAAAAGACTTCTTTATATTGAAATTTATTAGGCATGATTTTACCTTTTTCTCTTTATTTTGTAGATGTTAATATCCAAGTTAGAAAAAAACAAAAACATGAAACCAGAAGAAAGAGCAAATATAATGAAGACTTTGAAAGAGCTTGGAGAGAAGATCTCACAATTAAAAGATGAATTAAAAACATCTTCTGCAGTCTCCACACCATCTAAAGTGAAGACGAAAACAGAGGTATCTATTTGCATTTTTTATTTAACATAGGGTTATTGAACATATGCTGCTTGGCACCTTGAAAGAACAATGGCACCCTTAGGTAGCTAATATCCTAATAGGAATATAGGCAAAAAATTATAGTACTTTTAAACAAAAATACCCTAATTATAGTACTTTTTTTTTTTTTTTTTTTTTTTTAAAGAGACAAGGTCTCACTATATTGCCTAGGCTGGCTTCAAATACAGTCCTCCCACCTAGGCTTCCCAGAGTGCTGGGATTACAGGTGTGAGCCACTGTACCCAGCTGCCATGATTTTTTTTTTTTTTTTTTAGTGTTTCTGTAGTTGCTTGGTACTCTGGGAAGAGGTTGATAATACCCTGTTTGAACAAATATGTGTTTTTTAACTAAATATTTTGGTTCCCTGCTGAAGATGACACTAATAGAGTGATGGTGGTGAAAGAGGTATTCCCATTTCAGCAGTGCTATAATGGTACTATAATAAAACCATCCTTTTTAGTAGCTTGGCTATTCATATGGGTAAAAATGTGGTATGTTATTAAAAAGAATAATCAGAAGTTCTAGATCTATTTAAGTCTAATTTTATTAATTTCCGTCTGTTTCCTTGGCTGTACTTGGCTTAGACAGTGGTTCCATTGTACCACAGTTCTGTGGTGTGATTATAGGTAATTCCATCCTCCAAGAACTGGTAATAAATTTGTCAGATATGTAGAATGTACATTGTTATATGCAGTATTACGTTAAATTTGAAATTATGGTTCTCTATCAGTATAGAAACATACAGTGTTTAAGATATCTTAAAAATAAAATAAAATATTTTTATTGAAATTTTTCCTAATTATAGAAAGAATATATGCACATTTTAAAAATTAAAGAGATGAAAAAAATGACTGGCAGTCATGCCTCTTAAAGACTGATAAATAATTTGTCTCTAACAAAAAAGAGAATGGCAACAGTTAATGGATTCCAATCTGGTAGTAATTACGTAGCTGTTACTTTTGTACTATAAATATACACTTTTACTATATAATTTATTTTGCTCCAATGTGTTTCATTTGTGATACTTTATTATGTTACATTTATTCTCAGCTACCTCATCTTAGGTGTCTGTTTCTAGGATCTGATTTTTAGGCCATCTAATGCTTATTATTTTTCATTGAGATCCATACACTTTCTACATGTTGGCACTACTAGACCTGTAAAGTTACTTTCTTTAAAACACCCATGTTTATTGCATCCTCTCATTCTCATTGTGTGTCATTGTGTAACTGTAATGTTCTGGAGAAGATCTGGTAAGTCATCTAAAAAATACCTTTTTATTTTCAATTATTCCAAAGGCCCAGAAGGAGTTATTAGATACTGAACTGGACCTCCACAAGAGGCTGTCCTCAGGAGAAGACACAACGGAATTACGGAAGAAACTCAGTCAGTTACAGGTTGAGGTAAGATTTAAAAGGAGTTATTGCCTCACCACATTTAACGTCTCAAAAAAGTTTTCCTTTGTTGTCTAAGGTTTAGTCTAACAATGTATGCTGCATTCTACTTTTTGTTGTTATTCAGGCTGCTCGGTTAGGTATTTTACCTGTGGGTCGAGGAAAGACCATGTCCTCTCAAGGTCGAGGAAGAGGCCGAGGGCGTGGAGGAAGAGGAAGGGGCTCACTAAATCACATGGTGGTGGACCATCGCCCCAAAGCACTAACAGTTGGAGGATTCATTGAGGAAGAAAAAGAAGATTTGCTTCAGCATTTCTCAGTAAGTTGTTAAAATACCAAATGGTAACTCTGTGAACACTGTTTTCCTTGGTGCAGTGTGTAGAAATATCAAATGTTTTATAGATTAGACAATTTATAGTTGTAAAAAACATGAGTCCTACCAAATGCCTATTAATATATTTAAAAGTCAAGAAGCAGCTCTTGGTTTTGATTCCATAGTACTCCACTTAAGTTCATTGGTAGTGACAAGTTATTCGAAAGCTACGTTTAATTTTTGTTTTAGGATTATTACATGGCTTACCAGGTACTTATGGTTAATAGTGAAATAGTTTGGGTTAGAGGAAAAATTCAGATAATTTAGTTATATTCTGTACGTAGTGGCTACCACTTACTTTTAGGCAAACATGCAAATAAAGATTTGTCACAGGCAAATGTCTGTACTGTTTTGGGCATATACAGTATATACTCTTTCCAGCTATTTTATTGAGTATTTTTTGTGCTGGAACATTTCATATATGATCTCATTTCATTGTAAATGACTGTATAAATGTGAAATACATGCAAAATGATATACGTGTGAAATCCCGTATGTACAGATGTGAACACAATTTAAAATGTCAACCATAATCATATAATTAATAAGTAGTGGAACTAAGACAACTAGGTTCCCTATTCCTTAAACAACTCTTTTGACAGGGAATATTTTCAGCCCTATTAAGTGTTAAAGATGGCAGGGCACAGTGGCTGACACCTATAAACTCAGCACTCTGGGAGGCTGAGGCAGGTGAATCACCTGAGGTGAGCCAGGAGTTCGAGACCAGCCTGGCCAACATGGTGAAACCCCATCTCTACTAGAAATACAAAAATTAGCTGGATGTGGTGGTGTGCATCTGTAATCCCAACTACTTGGGAGGCTGAGGCAGGAGAATCACTTGAACTTGGGAGGCAGAGGTTGCAGTGAGCCAAGATAGCACCATTGCACTCCAGCCTGGGGGACAAGAACGAAACTCCATCTCAAAAAAAAAGAACAACTTGAAGAAAGCAGGTGATTGATGTGTGACGACTGGCATGGATTGGGTGTCAATTTCTAATCTGGGAAAATGGCTAGACTAGATGAATTTCTCTTTGAGCATCTTCTACCAGGAACCCTAATATGCATATAATTTTTAATTTATGGTATATATAGTTGATCTCATGTTCACATACATATATTTTTTATTGGAATTATTTCCTTGGCCAACATACATAAACAGAATGAAAAGGAGTAACAGTGTATACAATGAAAAATAAGATTTCCTTCTACCTCTACTCAATTTCACTCCCCATATACAATTACTGGTACCAGTTTCTCGTATATCTGCTCAAAGATTCTGTCTCTTGTCTGTCTGTCTGTCTCTCTCTCTGTCTCTCTCTCTCTATATATATATATATGTATATATTATAATTTATATATATCTCATCTATATATATATCTGCTCAAAGATTCTCTTGTCTTTATATATGTGTAGATATACATACATATATAGATGAGAGAGAAATATATATAAATTTCTATAGGTGAGAGAGAGAGAACTATATATAATTCTCTCTTTCCATTCTTAGAGAACTATATTTCTCTTTTAATTATATACATATATATATATATATAATTATAGAAATGGTAGCATGTTATACAACACCCTTTGCCATATATACTTTTCACTTCATATATATTCAACTGTTAGATTGTTCTACACTAGTACATGTGGTATTCGTTTTAATGACTGCATGGTATTTCATTGCACAGATGTATCATACTACATTTGAACCATCCTGTATTGATGGACATTAATTTTTTCCCAATATTTTATCATCTTAAACCATATTTAGATGTGTATGTGACGGAATATATATATGTATGTGTAGAACAGATACTTTAATAAGCAAGAGATGTATTAAGAGATTAGTCCTAGATGTTTTTAAAAAGTACTTTTAAAAATAAAAAAATAACATCAGCACTTTGGGAGGTTGAGGCGGGTGGATCACTGGAGCTCCGGAGTTCAAGACCAGCTTGGCCAACATGGCAAAACCCTGTCTATGCAAAAAATACAAATATTAGTTGGGTGTGGTGGCATCTGCCTTTAGTCCCACCTACTTGGGAGGCTGAGACATGAGAATTGCTTGAGCCCAGGAGGTGAAGGTTGCAGTGAACCCAGATTGCACCACTGCACTCCAGCCTAGGCAATGGAGCGAGACTCTGTCTCAAAAAAAAAAAAAGTATGACTAATAAAACTCTCTCTTTTATTGATCTTTGCCCATTCTTGAAAGATGGTAACTATTCTTAGATATCGTTATAGAAAAATATTATGTATGTAAGAATACATATATAAAGCTTTCACTTTAAAAACATTTACCAGGCTGGGCGCGGTGGCTCATACCTGTAATCCCAGCACTTTGGGAGGCTGAGGCCAGTGGATCACCTTAGGTCAAGAGTTCAAGACCAGCCTGGGCAACATGGTGAAACCCCGTTCTCTATTAAAAATATAAAAATTAGCTGGGCCCAGTGGCGTGTGCCTGTAATCCCAGCTACTTGCGGGACTAGGCAGGAGAATCGCTTGAGCCCAGGAGGCGGAGGCTGCAGAGAGCCAAGGTTGCACCACTGCACTCCAGCCTGGGCAACAGAGTGAGAGTCTGTCTCAAACCATAACAACAACATTTACCAAAATGTGATCATATTATAAATACAAGGCTATGTTCCAAGTCTTGCCTTTTTCACATAAAAATCTTAGCTATTTGGTATTTCCTTAAATTTTTTTTTTTTTTT